TACAGTTTCCACCAAGACCCAGTGGCAAGCGACTTCTATAAAGGAGAATAGTTATCTACAGGAGCACTGATAGATTTTCTTCAAAGTCGTAGCAGTGTGGGTTGTGGGAGTGGTGGAAATCATCTGTACTCCCAGCTACCTGGGAGGCTGACCCAGAAAGATCATGCACTGGAGGCCAGCCTGGGCAACTTACAGGGACCCTGTCTCAAAAACAATACCAAGAGTGGGGAGTGGCAGGTGACACCTGGACTCAATCCCCAATACTGCAAACAGACAAACAACAATCCTAGAGATCTGAGTTGTGAATCTCCTGTTGTGCTTGGCAGCAACTTTGTACCGCATCCCTATTTTCTATAGACATGTTTAGCTCTTATTAAACTATGATCTCCTGGATCATAAAGTCTACATGGTAGAGCCACTTCTAGTGCAAGCTCAACTCAATGCAAGTCCTTCACTTGATCTGGTCCACACTAAATACTGGAATCCCTACAGGTGATTCCATAGAGCTGCTTACATAAATGTGGTATGCCTTGCACCCCAAGTCCGTAAAATCCTAACAAGTATCGAGCCTCCACTTCCCCACCTCCATAGGTGATGTGGAACACAGCAATTTGTCTTTTGCCTTAGAGGAAATATATCAATATATCCCACACCAGTGAGTTACTACTAACTATCCTGACATTGTGGGCCCCTGAATTTCTGTAGGGTTTATCTACTACCTTCTACTTCACATATGTCTTACTAATGTATCTAAAGTACTTTCTACTTTTTCATCATAGTAATCTGCATATGTTCTTCAGGATGGTCTATAGACTATTAATATAGCAGACAGCAGAAAAACTGAGGTCCCCACTAGCCAAGATTATGCAAGTGTACTGTTGGTCCTGCCATGTAGAGGCAAGGTGGTTCTTGTATATTAATATGGAGAAAAGGACATGAGTTGGGTCAGTAGCTGCATACCAAAGCCATGTTGATCAGCTCAGTAAGGACAGTACACATGGGACAGCAGCTGCACTGTTACCACCTGACTGAACTTACAAGAGTACAGTTACTTTCCAAGATCCACCTGACTACTACGTAGGTCAAGAGTGAATTAAATGGGAATACAAAAGGTCTCCACATCTGATTCTTTTAAGTCTCTGTGGTATTCATCTCTGTAATTCTCCCAGAGATGTGGTATGGTTACCTTTACCATTGTAGTAGGTAGGGAAAGCTTTCAGAGTTTGCACTTAGATTTCTCTACTAATGACCCACTACCACATGTGGCAGCTACCAAATGTAAGTTGCTAAATACATCTAAGCCAATTATGTAGTCAGGAACTGGAGAAATAACTGCAGAGTGTATCTGTGGATCAACTGGGAAAACTGAGTGGTCAAATTTAAGCTAAGAGTCCATCTCTTACTTGGACACAATAACCCTCTCTTACTAATGGGACACAGTCATGTTTGGGGCTTATAGGAATTTATTTCAGGGAGCCAGTGTCTGGGAATCCCTAAAAGGAGTATGGATTTATTTTCCCAACATGCAATCATTCTGTTAAGTAGCTGTATTTACTTCAGTGAAGGCTTGGAGGTAAAAGCAGAGCATACACCTGTGTCAGTAGTGCATGATCCTTCTTCACATGAGTCAGGCTTTCTCTTTAATCCAGAGGTTTTCTCCTGTGACATGACTGAGGTCTGGAAACCAGTGACGGACCATACCAGATCTGCACTTAGGTCAGGCACTTTGTTACTAGAACCAGAGAGCTTTTTTTCTCCTGTTGCAAAGACCAAACAATTCCCTGGTCAACTGTCCATCTACTTCATTTCTCAAAAAACCATCTAAATACAGCTTCAGGCCAAAGTATTCTGATTACTGACTTGTTTCTGTTGCTCTACAGGGTTGAGGTGCCTGCTTTGGCCAATTAAGCCCACACATATGGCCTCATTATCCAAAATCAGGGAGCTGCTGGGGAGATAGCTCAGAGTCATAAGCATCTCTCTGGCAAAAGCAACGTCCTGAGTTCGATCCCAGGTCTCCCCAAATAACAATACTAACAAAATCAGGGAGTCCAATTCAATGGTGGTGTCCCCCATGGTCATACCTTGCATATAAAAAAACTAACCACAGAAAATCCTCAGGGATGCAACCCCCCTTGTCCAAAGTATTTCTCAGTGCCTTAAAAAAAATGGGTGCTGTCCTAGCACGCTGACACTCGGATGTAGTTCTGTGTTTAGTGGCAGTGGGACAAAAAGAGAAGCAATGGGTTGTGGTGGGGCTTGTGGAGAATGAGCTTTTCTTTCTTTCTTTCTTTTTTTTTTTTTCTTTTTTTGGGCAGAACTGGGGATTGAACTCAGACTCTTGCGCTTGCCAGGGAAGTACATATTCCACTGAGCCATCTCCCCAAGCTTTTCTTTTCACACTATCTGCCACACATGAAGGCTTCATCAGGTTTCAAGCTGAGGAAGACAGATTTCCTCAGACACAGGAAGGCAAGCCACTTCCACTGCTTACCAAGGCCCAGTGTGACTTGGGTATCCGAGACTGTCCATGTCCAAGCAAAATCCCTATTTCAAAATTTGCGAGCCTGTTCTTGCCCAATGGACAACTTCACCTTCACGAGAAAGTCAGCGAGGCCGCAAATCGAGTCAGCACTGTAAGTGAGCTCACGCTGTGGTGTCAAACACTGCCAGCCACTGTGCGCTTAGGAACGCAGCTAAAAGAAACACAGTGGAACTCGGAGCAAGAGCCCCTCTGACATCCTCTTCTCATCAAGTGCATTGCCCACTGGGCCAAATGACAAGGACAAATTATTTCAGTGCTCTGAGCCGAGCAATGAAGGGCAGGTTCACTGGCAGCACACCTCACCTTTATCCCCGTCCCGTGGTCTCTACCACCTGCCCCTCCCTATAAGAAAACACAAACACTGCAAATGAGTAAATCAAAAATACAAATAAGGATGCTGAGACCAGGGGTAACATCCTCCTAATAAAATATACTTCCCGTATCTAGGGTAACCGATTGTCTCAGTTTTCTCTGGACTGTCCTGGTTTTGCCACTTACAGTCCCGTGCCCTGGAAAACCATTGAGTGCCAGACAAACTGGACTGACTTCTCACTTTATTGGTTTCCCAGAGATTTCCAACATTTCAATACATCAGAATTGCCTTGAGTCCTGCTAAAAATGCACGTAATCCTGCCTTTTTAAAAAATGCAGCAATTTCAGTTGAAGCAGGCCATAGTCTTTTTTTTTTTTTTTTTTTTTTTTTTTTTTTTTTTTAAAGAAATGTACTTGGAGGTTGCTCAGGTATGAATCACTGCTTTCAGGGACTCCTCAGTCCTGACTTCTTTGTCGTTCCAAAACTATAATCACTGAAAGGAAAGAAATCACATCCTTTGGAAGATGTAGCAGAGGTTCCTCAGCCAGAAGGAGACATTGACAAATTACTAGTTGATGGAAAAAAGTAAAAATTATACTCAGGACTTGCTCTCCTTTCAGTTCTAGGACAAATCATTTCTTTCTTTCAGTGCCACAAAGTGTAATAGAGAATAATGGATGCTGTGAAAATTACACCTGGCAGTAGCAACAATATAGGTACATCGCTGAAGTACGCTGAGCTTCCTGCAGGTGAGCACCTCTACTATTAGGCACATTTTAAAGGTTTCCACAGTGACCATGTTTTCGTACATCTCAGAAGACAACTTGAACAAAGTAGTAATTCAGGGATATAGTTACTATTTTTACACAAAAATTTCCCAAGTGTAAACAGGAACGCTTTCAAGATATTTCTTAAGAGTTTGGATGGGGTAAGCAGACTCTTCGTATTCACTAAATTTCTATTCTGATCAGGGAATTGTGAATTTTGGGTTCTTTTTATTTTAACTAATTTATTTTCTTATGGTACTGGGGAATGGCATGAACCCAGTGCCTGAGCTACAACTCAAGCCTCTTAAAAACAAACAAACAAAAAAGTCTTGCAGGGATTTATTGCAGACCCCTTGTACCTGAATTTTTAAAATACATTGCACCTCTTTTAATTCTACCCCAAGGACCTGTAACATATGTAATATACTGGGGGGTGGGGGGCGGCAGAGACCACCGGGCTTGTACAACACAACATGGCATAGTATTTATTGTGTCTCAGTTAAGGCATACAGATGGTAAGATTGTCTGCCCCAACGAAGAGAATTCTGCCCCTTTTATAGGGATTGAGAGAAGGCAGGGGACACTAGGCAGAAATATCCCAATGAAAAATAAAGTTTTCCAGTAGTCCTGTGGGCAGTCTTTTAAGTGTCCCATGTAAGTATTTGGGTGTCTCCGGATGTCCCCCGGACCTGCAAAACTCTTTGTCCTATCTTATCTCCTCTTCTGTGCATGTCGATGGAGGACAACTTCGGTACTGAGCTGAGTACCCCTGAGCGCCCAAATAGTGGTGCTTTTCCTGGCAAGCAGGTTGGGGGCTTGGAGCGTCAGGTCCAGTTGGTGGCTTATAGTCTCATTTTAAAAAGAAATGGAGTACTTGCACTAGATTATATACTTAGGAAATGGTAGCATCTAAAATTTGAATGTATTTATTCAAGCAAAATTGGCTCAGCACCGGAGTGCAGAGCCCAATGAGGCGTGGTTCATGATCCGTGGTAAATGCTATCAGGGAAGTACGGCCCATGCTGCAACGGGAACACCAGGAGCAGCCTGGGCTCTCCTCGACTTCCAGGATTAAATGCAAATCTTTTTGCTTATTTAAACACCATGGCCCACACCTCCATCACCCTCACCCTTCCAGAAGCTTTGCTTAGACGAGGTCGTTCTTTCTGCAATCGAGCAAACATGCTGGCGCCGGGTCGGATCTAGTTACAAGCAGCTCACTTTCTGAGGATCTCGGCCCCTAAGAGGCCAGGAACTTGAAGCTGCCCGGACTCCGGGCCGGACACCGGAAGTAGAGGGGGTGATGTGTGATGTCAGAAGGAAGTGCCTATCGCCACGGCCTGTGATTGGCTGTTGCTGGAGGTCGTGCCTCACTTTTAAGGTTCCGCGGACTGCAGGCGTTAGAAAAAGAGTCTGAAGTAGAGGGGCAGCTCCAAGGGTGAGCGGGTTCGGACCTGCGGCCCCGCTCCGTCTGCAGGTGTGTGCACTCTTAGTTTACCTGTGGGCACCTGCGGGTGGAGACGTGAGGACGGCTCTGAGGTCCGTCCCTGAGCGACCTCTGAGGGAACTCTTGGAGGAAAAGGGTCTGAAAGAGAGAAGCGAACCTTTGCCAATGACCAATTTCTTTCATCTGCGAGGTTCGCTTACTCTGCGCCTCATCTGTAAGGGAAGATCAGTTTATGGAAGAAGAAACAGGGACTCAGGTGAATTCGTCTGCTGTAGGGTCATGCAGCTGGGCGGTGACATTAGGAGTACAGAATTAAGGTCCTCAGGCTTTAAATGCATGAAGATTTTCAAGGTGGAGGGTGGCGATGGCTAAGCGATTCCGAGACTCCACAGTTGATAAAAGAATGGGACAGATTGATTAAGTCTGAGGTTGGGCCCAGGAATCTGTATTTTCAACAGCTGCCCCCTGACAACTAGTGTGTAGGTCCAATGGGAACGAAGAGAAAAAAAGAAAGAAAGGAAAAAAAAAAAAAATATATATATATATATATATATATATATATGTCATAGTCCCCTTGGGGACCAGTAGCAAGTTGTGGGGTTAAGCTTTTAAGGCCTCAACCCCGAGAAGATGTCAAGTGGGGGCTTCCTTCAGACATCTTGTGGGACTGAAGAATTGGTTTTGATTGTGTCATTAACTCATTTGGGCAGATGGCAGCCTCCCTCATCTCCCTACCTATGAGAAGCAGGTGATACTGTTTTTCTGGAACTAGGTGACCGTGTTAAATGTAAAAATTCGTGGACCCAGCTCAGTTCTCTTGCATCGGAAGGTTTGGGGGTGGGGTCCTAGAAATCTATAGGCTAACTAAGCTGGAAACTGTGCTTATTATCTTTGAAGATTAAGGTATGATGCTTTTCTAGACCCACAAAGAAGTAGATCATAGTTTAAAAAGATGGCAGATTCAGATCATACGGCCTGACTTCTTGTTTTCATTCTGCAGCTATGGAGACTTCTGAATGTGTTATGGGCACAAATTTAAAATATTCTTGGCCTGCCTCCAGAAGATCTCACTTAGGATAGAAATAAGTGCTTGTCTTTATGATAAGCAAGGTAGAGTATATATGAGGACCACAAGTCACTCAGGAAATCAAGTAATCTACTCTTTACTTCTAGGAGTTTGACTTTTTTAGATCCCACATAGAAATGAGATCGCCCTGCCTTTGTCTTGCTGTGGCTGTCCCATTTCACACAGCATGAAGCCTCCAGATTTGTCTGCCGTGGGTGCTTTGAAGGAGCTTCTAGGAAAGTTGAATGCAGCCAGTGGTACTGGAATGTGGAAATTGACTTGGAAACTGAATCTTAGCCTCCTTCTTAGTGACTGGAAGATGATGGGAGTTCCTTGTTTCCTGCTGTTGGAGACTATAGGATAATGTAGTTTATGATAGGTTCTGCTTTTAGACATGTGCACCTTTTTTGTTTTTTTTTTTTTTTTTTTTTTTTTTTTTTTTTGAGTTGTTATTTTGTTTCTTTTTTTTATTTGGGAGGAACCGGGGATTGAACTCAGATCCTTGCAT